AGTGCTAGAGATGTTCTGCTCACGCATGACGACCTCTTTTGTATTGGACATCGCTTGTGCTCGAAACGTGGTGAGTCAATCGATTATTTTGAACTTACTTATGTAAATTCTTCTTGTGTTCGCAAAAGATCATCCTTAAGATGTGCGAATAAAGCGAGTTCATTTGCTGCGAATGGTTGGCGAAATTTTGGAAAAAATCGATACGGTTTGTTTGGATTTTCTTGGCAGTTATTTACCCACGTTACACTACAATTTATAGCAATTCCTTTCTTTTTGAATACGGAAGTATATCACCCATTTTTCATGCCCTTTTAATGGTATTGGGATTTTCTCTTTAGGATCCTGGCTATGCCTCGAAAATCAGCTATGATGAATACCCTACAGATGACTGGGATGTCCCAGATATGCGTGATGTGGAGGAAATATTCGATGCTGTGAGCTTTTTTTTAATTTTTGAACACCAATTTTGAAGGGCAGGGCTTTATTTTTTTGGTAAAAATAACATCATAAGATGTTGATGTTCATCATCCTTATGAAGCCAATCGCATTGCATGCTGCGATGATAATCATCGCTTGACAAACATGTTTATGTTGATAAATCAAAACATGTTTAGCTTTGTGCCACTGCGCATTTTCATGGATGGTCTTATACAAAGCTGATGCCGATGGCTATGGTACTCTACGTCGCCAATTTCCATTTTAATGACTTCACCAAGTTCGTCTTCATTAATTCAGACCACAAAATTATTCAAGAAAAATCTCTCATTCAAATTCTGCCGTTATTTCGTGACATATTTCAGGTACTTCGTGATCAAACCTGAAACGGTCATGAACTCTAGGAAAAGGAATTCTGAAAGCGATAGCCTTGATTTCCATAACGAAAATGGGTCGTCTTTACCGTCAACTATCAAACGAGGACTCAGTATGAATGAGGTTCGCAGGTTTTTGTTCTGAATGAGGTTTTTGTTCGGATAACACGGAATTCTGGCCTGGCTGGAAGTCTGACAAGGCTCTACTCTTAAACATCATCCCCATAATCATATACGACTTCACACTTTGTGTTGTATATAATGTACTCGTAGTACTGTTTACTGACAGTTGTAGTATGTATGTGTTGGGTTATAGGCAAAACATATTACCTTGGTTAGAACGCGAACCCGGTCTCTGCTTTACGCGGCTCGTATTTGTCCAGCAAGCCATCAGGGATACATACGGTTTACTTGAACATACTATGGTGT